TATATATATATATATATATATATATATATATATATATATATGTAAAGATAAAATTGTTTAGTTAAAAAATATACCTTAATACATAAATATTAGGTTAAATTTATATGTTTAGTTAACAATTAATAACAATTCCCTGAAATTTTCAAAACTTTTGGTTTAACAATCTCTTTCAACTGCTTACGCTCTGCTACCTCCACAGTGTCGCTGCTACCCGCTGCCGCCGCTCGCCTGCTCCTGCGTCCTGCGTCCTGCTTCTGCATAGCACCAACGATTTTGGCCACCGCCGCTAAACACCACGCTTCTTTTCTTAGGCGCTAAGGAAAAAAATTCAGGAGAATAAACTTTTTCTCTCACACGCTTGCATCTTCTTCCTTTCAAAGTACAAATAGCGTCCATATAAGCACTCACGCACTCTCCAATAAGGATCACCAGCGAAGCAATCTTCTTCTCCGCCAACATGCTCCACAACAAGTCCTTTGTCAAGAAAACCAGGGCAGGCAAAGTCATGAAGGTGCACTCTTCTTCTTCTCTAGCCCTAACTGATTCTACCCTTTTTCTGTTTCTTTCTTATGCCTAATTTTTCTTTACAAATAAATAATAAATAAATAATTTTGCTGTTTGTTTTTTGGTTGGGAGTAGCAAGTGCGGGAGCACTACCTGCGAGACGACATATACTGCGGCGCACCGTTTTGCACCGTTTGCGATACTTTGGGTGCTCGCCTCAACGCTTCTCCTTCCACCACCATTCTCGTCGTGGACACCAATGTCGTGCTCAACCAGGTCTGCTTCCTTCTCCGTCCTAATTTTAATTTAAATGGCTATTTGCCATGCTGCCAAGGAAGACGTGTTTTTGTGAATTAAATGAAAGTGTGTTGTGGTTGTAGATTGATTTGCTGGAGAATCAGGCATTCGATAACATTGTGGTGTTGTCCATTGTGTTGGAAGAGGTTAAAAACAAGAATATGGCTGTTTACAACCGTTTAAGAGCCCTCTGTAGCAATGCCACGAAGAAGTTCTATGTTTTTTCCAATGAGTACCACAGGTATGCTTTTTTCTGGCCCTTTTTTAACGACTCACTACTAGTTTGGTGAGATTATGTTACACCATTATTGTTATAGAGGAGAGGAAGGAAGAAGTTGAGAATGCAACATGGCTGATGGATTTTTTGTTGCACTTCAGATTACACTCTAGTATAAGCTTTTCGTGTCCTTGTTTTATTTATGCCTTTTTAATGAACCATCACCATGTTTGAAGGGCACACTTCCAGTGTTCCCAGATAATCCTGAAAGTTTATTCTATAGGTAAGTATCCATATTACTCTGCAAAAGAGGTCTATAAATCGGTAGCAAGTTCATTTGTATCCCTATTAAATACTTGCTTGTCAAACAAATGACCTGACCTCAAGTGGGCGTTTCAAGTGTGAATCTTGGAATACCGTGTTTTTGGTTAACAAGTGAAAGAAAGACTTAAATACCTCCTCACTAGAAGAATCCAAGTTCTATATTAATTGCTGATGAATAAATGGGGTCATGTAACACCAAAAAGATCACGTTTGCTTCTTTTTCGTTCAATGAAATCTCATCAATATTAGAAGTCCCAATTTAAGGAAAGAGCTTGAAATAGTAATGAATGAATGAGCTAGTTGTACACAATATAATGGTGTAAACTATGAGTGAAAACATCTAGACAAGAAACTTCCCTACCAAAATCCGTTCCTAAAGTTAGTACAATTATCACCACCCAATCTGAAGGAAGCCAAGAACAAAGCCAAACCCCACACTCATTAAGTTGAAATTGTTTTGTTTCTGATTAAGGAAGAAACAATTAGGCTAAGAAGGTGATGAAGTAGGATGATATGTCCTCTCTAAAAATAAGTAAAAGAAAAACATAGAAACGTGAGAAAGACAAACCAAAGGCCTCACCGATCTTGTTTCATATTGACCTTTGAGACCCTTCCAAGTTAAGCCTATGCAAGTCGGGGTGTCAAAGTGAGCCAACTGAACTCACACGGGTTGGCTCACCACGAGTTGAGCTAAAAATGAGTCAACTCAATTTAGCTCACTTTTTAGTGAGTAAGTGTTAGGTTTCTGAGTAAGAAACCTAATTAATCATGATCACAGTAGGCCAAAAAGATAATCAAAGAATGAATTTCTCTTATTAATGGTAATAGAAATCTTTGAATAAACAAAAGTAAACAAGGATAAT